CTGTGGAAGGTGATCGTGCCCCTAGGCCAGAGGAGTTGACGCTTACCTCATGGGATGCGAGGGCTTTCTTATGCTGGCGTGGTGTTCTAGCCATTGCGTAAGCCACCTACATGCTACAGGCGGTCGTCTCGCACCCGGCGTACGCGCCGCCCGAGGTACGCCAGACATTGGAGGAACTGACGTTTTTCACGAGGAGAGTCGCGCCGTCGTGGGTTTTGGAACAGTCGAAGTGGACCGGGAAGGTCATGCGCGCGGTGGTGTTGCTACAGTGGTTCCTCTATGTTTGTCAGCCTCGGTGTCTGCTGCGTCGTCTATTCTAATTCTAGGGAGAGTGCTCTCGGGGCGCTCGTGGGGCGCTCTTGGGCGCTCTTGGAGCCCTCTTGGGCCTCTCTTGGGCCCCCCGTGGGGCTCGCTCACTTGGGCCGTCTTGGGGCCACCTTGAGGCCTCGAGAGCCCGTCGGTAGTGAGAAAACGAGAAGAGAAAAGACATGGATTTTCCTTTGGTTGTTGAAAAATATTTGGACTCTTGGGGGGATGCTTGGAGGGCGGGGGGGGTACTTGGAATCGTTTTGGGTCCGCATTGAGGCCTCTTGGATGCGCGTCGAAGGCTATCTTGTATCTTGAGCTATCTCTGGGGCCATTTGGGGCCTCCAAGGCCCTCTTGGGGCCATCTTGGGCCATTTTGGCCGCTCTACCCGCGGTAAACCCCTCCCCCGAGCAGGGGAAGGAGGTTTTTGGCAGAGAAAAGCGCAACTCGTTAAACCACCTACGCCAAAAAGGCTGGTGGGACTCTCTGAGGGGTACGATCTGGCCAGCGGGCCGATGCAGTGCGAAGCTCCCCTTTGGTGCCGTAAGCGCAATGACGTTCCGGGCGCGATGCGAACTGCGTGGGGGGAGCGCCTCCGTGCGAATGTCTCTGGGGCCGTGCGTGGAGCTCTTTGTGGGGCATGATCCCTATGCTGGGTGTGCCGAGATGGGCGGGGGGGCGCCGTGCCCAGCCCCCCAGGGGGTGTCAGACCGATCGCGTTGTTTGCATTGTGGTGTGTTCGAGGCTTCATCAGGGCGTCGCGCGTCGTTGGGGGCAGTCGCTGGGCAGCCCCGCCTTCTGGGGAGACTCAGGGTGCGCCTGTGATAGATCTTAGCACGCGCGCAATATCTTGCAACGCTTCGCAGGGCTAGACGAATTTGCAGCCAACTTTGGAGTGTTCGACTTGTGTGCGCGTAATGGGTTTTCTTCGCGCGCTGAGCTCGATCATGAAACGGTCCTCGCGGGGTTCCCGATGGCCCTGCGCAGGTGTCCTTGCGTGGTGCGTGGGCTTCCTGTGCGTGCTGTCTGTGAGAAAACAGCTGCGCTTGCGATTGAGGCGCGCGGTGCAATTTATGCTGGGTTCTCCTGCGCCCTGGCCCTGGCCATATTGCTTGTGCGCGCGCTTTCTTGTTCAGCTTCGAAAGCGGTTTCACGCTGCCAGTTTTCAAACATGCGGCGGATGATGTTTCGTTGCAGGCCGCGGGGTCCCTGTCCTAAGTGGCCGGCCAGTTGCCCGACGCCGTGATGGCCCTCGTCGGGGGACTTGGGGCCAACGCGCCGCGTGCCAATTGGGGAAAAATAGAGGGCTCTGTCAAGCTCGAGGGAGCTCTCCGCTGTGGCCTCCAGGATGAGGACCGACCTGTGGGCGCCAGGTGCTCGGGCACCGATGCCAATGGTGATTCTGCGGGGCGCTTTGGAGAGCGTCGCTGGCGGCGTGAGGAAGTCGAGCGGGCCGCGGCAAAAGTAATTCAGCCTGGGAGGGCCGTGGCCCAAGTCAGCGCGTTGAGGGGGGTTGCCCCCCGCGGCGACGGTGATCTTTGGGGTCGGCGATGGCGGGGGTCTCGGGACTAACGCTGCGCGGGCTGCGTGCCCCAGCTTTGCGCGCGGAGGGGCATGTGCCTGCGGGGTCTCCTGTGGGCTTGCGCCTCCGCGCCTCGCCACGTGGCGCTCTTCTCGATCCGTGGGTGGAGCGCGCTGTGGGGGTCTTGCAGCGTTGGGCCCTGGCCGTCTCGGCGCTCGCTGGCCGATGGCCTCTCGAGGCCTTCTGGGATGCTGGGCGTTCTCTCCTTTCTCGGGCCCGCCCCCAGGCCGGCGTGCGGGCCCTGCGCAAGCGGCGCTTTTTATGTTTGGCCGGAGTGGGCGTGGCCAGTCCCGCAGCTTGCAGTTTTGTGTCCACGCCGACCGAGTATGCTGTGCTCCAGTTCTCCCTGCTGTGGGCACATGTGTCAGGCCGCGCTTGATGCGTCTAATGTCCTCTCTCATCGGTGCCTCGAGGGCGCTCGGCAAACGCTTTTGCTCTCGGCTCCTGCGCCTGGCCTGTTTGATCAAAAAGAGTCGGAGGCGTGGGCGCCCCATCACAAGAGTGCTCTGCGCCCACTTTTGGGCGGAACCCATGGACCACGTGCGCGTTTGTTTGCCCGCGTCAAAAATCGGCCTGCGTGGCGGTCTTTTTGTCGTTGCCCTTTCCCTCCC